AATTTGTAAATTGTAGTTTAAAATATTTTTCGTAAGTATCTTTGTGTAATTTATTTGCAGAATTCAGCGCGTGCATAGGAATTCGAGACAGTGCATCGGCATTGGAATTTAGGCGGCCTTGTTTATATATAATTTCGTAATCGTATTCTTCTAATTTGAGATGCCAGCGAATTAGTCTACTGCCAGGGTCTTTAACATTAAATAACCACACTAGTGGTCGATGGTCTGTAATGACCTTGAACTTGTGTCCATATAGATAGGGGCGGAATGTCTTCACACCGAATATAATGGCAAGAAGTTCTTTCTCCGTGGTGGAGTAGTTTCCTTCCGCTTTGTTTAAAGTACGGGAAGCGTAAGCAATGGGTTTATCCTGACCTACGATCCCTTGGGATAGAACCGCTCCTACGGCATAGTTGGATGCATCAGTCGTCAATATGAATGGCTCATTAAAATTAGGATACTGGAGCAAAGGTGCGGAAGTGAGTTTTTCTTTTAATAGATTGAAAGCTTGTTCTTGTTCTGTAGTCCAGTGAAATTCGACATCTTTTTTCAATAATAGAGTAAGAGGTTTAGTAATTTTCGAGAAATTTTCTATAAAACGTCGGTAATAACCGACTAGGCCAAGGAATGATTTAATCTCCTTAGGATTTTTAGGGGTTGGATAAGTAGTAACAGCCTTGACTTTATCAGGATTCGGAGAGACACCTTTATCGGTGATGATGTGACCCAAATATGAAACTTCGCGGCGTAAAAACTCGCATTTATCGGGCTGTAATTTCAAATTAAATTGACGGAATCTGTCGAAGACTAACTTTAATTTTTGTATATGTGACTCGAGGTCAAAACTATATAAGATACAGTCGTCTAAATAGATATAACAGTGTAGACCTTGAAGGCCAGAAAGGACGGTATTCATAAGCCGTTGGAAGGTACTGGGTGCGTTTTTCAACCCGAAGGGCATTCGGTTAAATTCAAAATGTCCGGACGTTTTGTTAGTGGTTACTGTGAAACCTGTTTTTTCGGCATCTTCAGGATTTAAAAATATCTGATGAAATCCACTCGCGAGATCTAGCGTTGTAAAATATTTAGAATGACCAAGTTGATCTAATATGTCAGTTATAAGAGGAATTGGATATATTTCATTGACAGTGACGTCATTTAGACGTCTGTAATCGATTACAATTCGCCATTTACGTTTTCCAGAGGCATCTATCTTTTTTGGGACAACCCAGACAGGGGCATTCCAAGGGGAAACCGATGGTTTAATGATATTTTGTTCTAACATTTTTTTTATTTGAGTTTCTACCTCGTCCTTGTGGCATTCGGGGAAGCGGTAAGCTTTAACATGAATAGGGGGAGCATTCCCAGTATTAATGGAATGTTTTAAGGCATTAGTTGCGGTTAGCTTATCTCCATCGAGGTAAAATATGTCTGCGTATTGTGCGCAGCAATCGAGTAAAATATCCTTTTCTTCGGAATTTAAATGAGTGTGTCTAATCTGACTTAGTACTTTATCTATCCTATCAGAGTAGGTGATGTCAGATGTCTGTATGTTGTAGATATTTGTAGATGACTCTAGAGGTTTAGATAGAGTTTCGTCTAATGGAGTAAGGGAAACAGAGTAGTTTTTTATTTGGATGTCAGATTCAGTGGTATTTAAAATGGAGACATTTACGCGATTGTTAAGTTTAAGTGTTACTATACAATTAGAAACATAGACACCTTCCGAAATAGTATGGTCTAGTACGAGAGCTTCACGTAGATTTGGTAACTGTGATGAGTCATTTGATACAGTGCATTCAATCACGGCTTCGCTTCGCGCCGGTATAATATAGCTTGGTTGTTTGAAATTAATAGGTAGTATTTGTTCTCGTAAACACATAGAGTTAGAATAGTAATCAATATTGACCTTGTAATATCCTAAAAAATCACTGCCGATAATACCGTCATATTCCAGGTTTATATCATTTTTTATTACATGTAATTTGTAGGTAATACTAAGGGAATCGGTTAAAATAAAATCCATTTGAAATGTGCCTAGAGTTTTACAATAGGATTCAGTGTAATTTATACCTTTTAATTTTATAATTTCGCGTGAAAGTTCAGGTTGCTTATTTAGGCTTGATTGTTTGATAATACTGACACTCGCACCGGTGTCGATGAGGAAACATAAAGGTTTATCAGAGTAAGTTGATTGTAAATAAGTATGAGGCAAGGTTATTTTATTAATAATTATTTCGTACATGGGTATTGGTTTAGTTTCATCGGAATATTCGTGAGATTTAGTATTACAAATTTGTTTAAGCGAGTCTATATTAGTTAAGTTTTGTGGCCTTGTAATCTCAGAAATAGTAATATGTTTTTTATTTATTAGATTTTGAGTTTTACTTTTATTGGTGAGGTCAGTGCAAGATTTGGTACTTTCTTTATTTAAATAGGATTCAGATATGGTAGAAGGCTTTGTGTAAGATGTATTAGTCAGAGGTATTGGTAATTTTAATGAGTGTGAATTGGCACAGATTTCAGCGTAGGTTCGTGTACGATTCGATGATATTTGGGGATTAGAATAAGATTCAGAGCGACGCGTAGTATATGAATTTTTACAAAGTTTAGAATTCGTAGGATTCAGTGGTTTTTCAGATTTGTAATGAGATTTCGTATAAGGTTCAGCGTTCATAAGATTCTGTGAGTTTTGGGTTTTAGTAAAAGATTTAGTATTTATAAAATTCAGTGGGTTTCGAGGTGTAGAAAAAAATTTAGTATTGATAAGATTCGGTAGTTTTTGAGGTGTAGTAAAAGATTTAGTATTTGTAAGATTCAGTGGTTTTTGAGATGTAGTAAAAGATTTAGTATTTGTAAGATTCAGTGGTTTTTGAGATGTAGTAAAAGATTTAGTATTTGTAAGATTCAGTGGTTTTTGAGATGTAGTAAAAGATTTAGTATTTGTAAGATTCAGTGGTTTTTGAGATGTAGTAAAAGATTTAGTATTAAGATTCAGTGGTTTTTGAGATATAGTATAAGATTTAGTAGTGCCCTTGATGCCTATGATAGGAATTCGATCGGCACGGAACCGAAGTCCATTTTAGTTTAAATTTTCACTTGAAATATTTTCGTTATCGATTTCGCAATAATTAACTGCATTTGTGTTACCGGACACATTCCCACGCGCGGTTCCGGGATAGTGCCTGACACCTGCCTGGGAATCCGTATCGCGTTGCGTTTGGCCTTCATTCTGGCGACGCTGCATATTGTACTGTCTCTTGCGACATTCATTAATGCTGTGGCCTATATGTTTACAATATGCACATGAAATGGGTTTATGTAAATTATAGATCTTTGAATTATTAACGTGATGAGTTTTGTAAGATGGGGATATCCTGGTATCCCTATTTTTGAAATAGCACTCTGAAACTACATGACCTTGTTTTTTACAATGAGAGCAATATTTAGGCGTTTTGTTGGATGCTCTTGTTAAATTATATAATTTTTCTTCCTCCGTAGCTTGCATAATCGCCTTACCTAGAGTTTTGGGATTCCTACACCGCACAATGTAACTAAAGTTAGGATTAAGACCTAGCATAAATGTATTTAAAGTTAATTCTTCCATAGCAGCCACTCTACCAGGTAACTCGTCGTTGTTAGTACAGGAATAGTATATGTCCGATTGAATTTTTGTTAAACAGGCTTCGATTCGGAGAGAGTACTGAGTTACAGTCTCAGATGGTAATTGTTTACAACCCTGGAGTTCGATTAGTAAATGTGTGGAGTGCTTTTTCTCGCCGAACGTGACCCTTAAGAAATCTTTCAATTCTAACCAGTTTTTAAATGTCTTAAGACTACAAGCCGTTTGGGCTTTGCTTTCTAATTGTGATATTATATACTTGCATAATATATTCTGTTGCTCAGGGGCAGCTAAAGAAATTGCACTCTCACAATTTGTGAGGAAAGCAGGGAGGGACTCACGATCGCCGCTGTAGGCCTTTATGAATTTCGTTAATACGCTCAGTGTCACCCTCTCTGCTTTCTCACTGGCCTCCGATTTAGTGGTCATTTTATAAGGTTATATTAGATAAATGTTTCAGTTATATAGAATCTAGTATTAATAATAGTAATGTTCGGTTTGAATTACGTGATTATCACTAAACTGGCACTTCACTGATATAGAAATAGTAGTATCACAAAGCACTTACAGGAGGGTTATGATGATTATCATATCTTCTGATCTGGTGACACGTGGAGTCCGTCACACGTGGTGTTGTATGGCTCTGGGTACACGAACACGATGTTGCAATGGACCTGGCAGCCGGTGATCGATGTGGTCCCAGGTTTTGGTAGACAGGGTGTAATGCTGAACTTCTGAAGCGTTGGGGTGCAGGCTCAGATTTTATGATCTGAGGCTTACTGTCGACCCAGGTGACGTGGTTGCGGGGCGCTGGCTCACACACGAGGGGTGGAGACTAACAGTCGGCCAAATTCGTTACGGGGTATCAGTCCGATTGATGCTGTGAATCTCTGCCTGAGATCTTTTCACAGCATCCCACTTCTGACACCAATGTTAGGCGGCTGACCCCGTTTGGTTTTTTAAAAAAAAACCTTTTTAAAACACAACACAAAAGTCACTTGATTTCAGATAGTTTATTTCGAAAATGTGGTTTCACAAGTTATTATATTAACAAACTTATCCCAAACTATGTAGGTGCAAGTGCAATGAGTTATCGACGCGGACTGATTTGACTAACTGTCTAAACTGTTTTTATATAACGATGTAAATCGGGAATTATTCAGGCTCAGCATTTTCTTTGTACTGGGCTCGGGCATAACAGTACGTCACAGTTATTATACATATACGCCCCGTCGTCGCTATTGGATACGGGTGACATTGGGAGAATCAGATACTATTTGGACACAGAAATTTTAATGACATTTTAAGGGCAATTCTAGGTATTTGTGTTAATCTAAGAAAAAAGTGTCGAAGAATGGATAAATGGAATTATACTCACTAGAAGTGCCCTCGTCTTTGACATCTTGAACTATCCGACGGACGCTCTGCGTGAATTTGCCCACTAAGTTCGTACTAGCTGTAACAAAGAAAAATAACAGTTCAAAATATGTGTAAATATTTATGTAGGTTTATAAACTAACGGTGTGATTTATGTAAATAAACTATAATACCGACATTGCCGTCACAGATAATGAGGGTTGACCTTCTAGAGCGGAATTTTATAGTTGTAGTCTAGTTCGTGAATTATTAAACACTGCACATTAAATATTGCCGTAAACTAAATACGTTTTGATGTTATTTGTAGTACTAGAAATAAAGAAAATAGAAACAGACATATCATCAAAATCATCTAGTTCTAAAACTCCACAAACTAAATACAGCTAGACAAGTGAGGGACATATTTAAATATACTCACATAAACACCAAGACCAATACAATTAGACATACTCAATACTCATAAATGCAAAGTATTTTATTGTGAGGAGTTCGACTACTGATAGAAGGTGAGGCAGTGTGTTGTATTATACATCAAACTCGGCAGAATAACAACAAAAACATCATAGAAAAAATTGCAAGGTTGAATATTAGCAGAGTTCATGCAACAAGTATTGTTATTGCTATTTCTCTCCTTTAGGGATTTCTCCGTAAAGGAGAGCGGGCCGCACATTTTTTCCGGGAATAAAATTTAAGGAGAATAAAACTTTAAAACTATATGTTTCCACTTTTACAAGTACAAAATGCACAAATTAATATATCTTGTAATTTATATCAAATGTGATTTATTAAATTTAAATTGTATAGAATGTAAAGAGGAAAGAAATATGATATTTTCCCTAAAAACGTAGGAAATAAGAAATCCATATTGAACAACGTATTACTACATTATTTCTTCAAGAATTCAATTGAAATAATCGTGAGCAGATGATCACAAAGCCAAAAATTATTTTCCAGTTGATCAGATATTTTAAGTGAAGTCCTCAAGTATTGTGCGATCTAGTGGAAACAAAGTTGGGACAGACTCTGAGTTTCCAACACGCTTGTGCACTCAGCGGGCAACTTGAGCTGCCTGAGCCGACCAAAAGCCGAGCGAATAAATGGACGATGAATAAACTCTCGGCTGATAAATGCCACAGATGGGACAACGGGAGTTTGTTCGCGAGAATTCCAAACAGTACCGATAAATATAGCAGTATCAAACTTCTGAAGTGTTTCGCTAATAGAAAATTACTTCTATTGCCGACAATTCGAAACAAAAACAATTTTTTTTCTATCACTTTTTCAAACAAATCAAAAGTTCAAGAAAGTAATAGGAAAAAAAAGTCCTCTGAAGGTTGTTAAAACATACAGTTGTCTTTATATTAATATTAAAAGAGAAAATAATAGATTTTCTGTAAAATTTATTGTAATTTATGTTACAAAAATCAAGCTTCAGATTCAGTTCTGAAAAGAGTATGTAAAGAGAGAATTTGAATTATCTTAAATACATTAAACTATGTTTGTTAGTCTCGTTAAAACTCAAGAACGACTATTTGATTCGTGTTCGATTTATTTTGTTAGTATACTATACATGTTACATTTTTTTATCCTTTTTGTATATATGTTATATATTTTTATAAATGCGAATGACATAGAATATCTTTAGACATTGATTCAAATTCCCAGAGCTTTTTAATTATTCAATCCTGATGTCAGCGTGATGAGGCATTAAGTTGGTGACTCGTCGACGGGTGTCTCACATCAAGTAGAGTAATGGTGGATGCCATTACTATTATGTCTCAAGCTTCGTACTTGGAATTGAAAAAGTTTGACAGGCGTTCAGACGTGAGGAGATATTGCTTTGGCTTCAATGTGATTCATGCTACTTTTATTTAAAACGCTTTTTCGAGTTCCGTATCAAATGGGCAAAATTGTAACAGATTGGTGATTGTCCTTTTAAATTTTGAGTGATGATAAAATGAATATCAGGGTGACAAATATAAAAAAGTATGAATAATATCACTACGTTCTGTATAGACTGTGAATTTTCTTTTTTAGGGCATTTTTCTTCAAATCCGAAGTTTCAACATTTGAATAAAAGCATTACGGCATATTAAGCAACAATCCAAAAATTATAACTCTCCTACGTATAGTACTTTGTCCATGCGTTATGTGACAGTGCAATATCAGTAATTCTAGCATCGGCATCCAGTTCTAGGAACCTTTATGGTGCAACTTTGTGTCCGAATCCGCTTGTCACAATGCCATTATGCCATATTTCAGTAACTCTAATAGTTTCCAAATCGATAACGTTAGAGTATGTTTCCTTAGCTGGAGCATTCAATGTCGTTTCAAATTTTAAAGCATTGAATTATTCCACAAAGACTAAATACATCCTGTATTTAATCTAATACTTAGCTAAATATAAAGCTCAAACATATAAACTCTTATTCATAAAAATACAAAAATTATCATTTCGTATACCGTTTGTAACTTATTTAAATTTTGAGAATAATATTTCGATTAATGGAGCAAGCTAAAGAAAAATAAAGGTATGTAACCTGATATATCAGAAATCTAAAAAGAACCATATTCATACTAGAATTACATTATAGTCAGCCATAAATATATTAAATTATATTTTGAATAATCTATATTCTGCACCTAGTTGCCGCATAAAGGATTCATAAATTATTGTGTGAAAAGTGGAAGCACAACTTGTGTATTCATTCAGATCACTCCGAATGAGTTCATTATTGAATACGTGGTTTACATGCAATAAATGGTTCGCAATAAATTAAATCAAATATTTGATTGGAAATAAATTTACTTAATCTAAGCTTACTAATATAAAAAAATGCGAAAGTTTCTGAACATAGTAGGTTAGGTATGTTTGTTACTCTTTTAAGAATATATTAATATTATTGGAAAAATACGAAGTTGAAATATATATTTAACCGATAGCATAAAGTTCTTAAAGTTCAATAATGAAGTTCTTCGTATTTATAGTTTTAGCGAGAACTTTGATCCAGTTATTTTTAAAATATAATACTTTAAATTAAAAAACACAGTAAAATACGCACGTATACACGTCGTACGCAGTATAATTTTACGAATACGAGTACGAGTACGTTTTCTTTGACCGATAAAGTAGTATATTTAGACGTACCTATAATTAGTAGTAGAGTTATATTTCCTCTGAGCCGGTATATTTTCTGAAAATATATGCTATGAGTATAAAACTAGTTCTGGAATTAAGAATATTACATGGACGTATTCAAAATCAGATTTGTTACAATATATATTTACTAATCAAAGAATATAGAAATTTTGAAAAATATCGAAATTTGGAACTCGTATGAAATTGTCTATGAAATTTTATAATCTATTTAGTAATCGTCGATACTTGTCACGAAAGACTTGTAGAACTACTAATAGAGTTGTATAAAGGGTTGCCGTATTCTTTCTAAGAGCTACAACAAAGTTTAAATGTAAAAGTTAGCGTGTTCATGTTCGTATTGAGACAACTAGAAAACGGATTCAGAAGAACGGCTTGGTGAAAAGCTCGCTTGGTGAGAAGTGCGTGCTGGATTGGATTGGAAAAGTTTCATCACGGCCTTTAGTTCAGTTTAGGTGCTAGATGTTTAAGCAAATGCTAGCAAATTGGATAAGTTGTTATTTCGTTTAAGTATTAGCACAGATAAGATAATACAAAATAAAAATACATTACGCTATATGTTGAAAACTAACGGGTTATGTCGTTAGTGCAGCATTGATAGTACCTAATTAATTCGTTTTTCAATTTATAATAACAGAGTATACCATATAAAAAGAGACTATCTATGCTTAAGTACCTTAAATAAATGCGCAAGAGATTGGTTTTATCTTTTATTTATCTAAATTATAATGTTAATTTTTTCAATTAATGTCTCTCGTAATTTAGCCGGTTACATAGGATATGCGAATGTTAAATACGTAATCGGCTAAATTACGAGAGACATTTAATAACAACGTAAATTCAAGTAGGTATTATACATACATTGTACTTATTCAAGGGTTAGTATCTATTTTACCAACAGAAGCAGAAACTAAATATAATTTGTAAGCTGTCAAATTCACAAGGTGGCTGTGACAAACCTTTGAAATTAATTCTTGTGTACAACTCTAGGAAATAGAATTTAAAATGTTTCTTTGGTGCAGCTGTCTGTAGTATTTGCACAAACAAGTCAAGAAATGGAAAATTTCATAGCCTCAGGTAGGAACAAAATTTCGGCATGAGTTCAGACGGTACATAAGAATAAACTTGAGTCGTACTTTACTAATGTGAACAAAAATCTCATTAAGTCGAGATAAATATTTTGTGACGACTAAAATTTAATTGTTATAAATACTTTTTCGTTGCATCTTATCGCTATTAAAAGAATTTGTACTAACTTTGCTTCTAACTTGTATTAAGTTTACTGGTTAACATGTGATGTAAATTATTCTGAGAATTTCAAAAAATTATATGTCACAATAAATAAAAATAACGTAAAGAGTATATGTAAATTCTAACTTAATTCTTATTATCGTGACCATAAAATTTTGCATAGATCTACATAATGTTTAAGATGAGATGGAGGAAAGAGGGGAATTTTTACCCGACCATATAAACAAAGCAGCAGGAATAGCTTAGTAGCTTCAATAAGTTAAAATCTATTCAAATATCGAACAATGCTTTAAAAGTAATCAATAAAATGGACGTTAATTTACTTCCTGGGTCCAACATTAATTACAAAAAGTTTACTAAAAACAATTTACGGTGCTTAAAATCTTTCTTAAATTTGTTTTCGTTCTTTGAAATTACTTAAAAATATTGGCATATTTTGATGTTTATCAAGCTGGAAGAACACGAAACTTTGTAAGTAGATATTATCGAAATAATTTCATTGACAATAAAGCTGTAATCATTTTCATGACTTTAAACTTCCTATCCATTATATACTGTTGGACACATGTCTAAATACTAAGCCATCGTCATGTACCGACTTTCTAAAATGGTTTCGAGATCAGCACTTTCGCATATTCTACACAACCATATATTTCTTACATTCTTACATT